CGAGCGAAGGGAGTCACACTTCTGATGAGTCACATCATTCATGTGCATCGTGCATGCAAACGCACTTAGTTACGAAGAAAAGCAGTGCGACGAACAACAAAACTGCATTTCATCGTTTTATCAACAGTTCAACGAGCGTGCATGCGTTCGCCGTTGTGGAGAAAACGTAAAGCAGAAGCATCAAACACGAAAAAGAGGAAGAAGCAACTTTGCGTCTTAATTGCGCTGCAATTGTGTGCTTACTCTGCACGCACTACGTTGTTGTACATTATATTCTATTGTCACATTGTGATTCTTGTCACACTGTTGCATTACCACAAACGGCCAGGTGTCATATTTATTTAGTTACTTGTTGATTACTAAAAGTATATTTTCTTCAATTAAATACGATAACATGCAGTCAGAAGACTTTTTTATTCAAAAACCTACTTTAGAATTTTTGAATAAAGATTGTTTTCATAAATTTCAATTCATTTCATCATTGCGTTCGCAAGATGTAAGAGATATGTGACATTCATGACATCTCGCTTCAAAAATATTTTTGAAACAACTTTTGTATTCCTGTGGTTTTTGGCCGACGGAATTCGGCGATATCAATGTTTTTACAGCGTTGAAGTCCGTTTGGCGTTCGGCTTTCCATGTCGAGGCGAGGGTGGCGTGATGTTTACTTTGCGTTTCGGATTGTTACATTGTTCCCGCAGCCCCGCGCCTTGGTTTGGTCACGATGTGGCATTGGGAAAGCTGGCGGATTAGTAGTGCTCGCCCGGTGCGTATAACAACATTTCCAATTCCGTGTTAGATACGTAAAAGCCACCAGAAGCTGCCTGCACCCAAAGCAGTCCCAAAATCCTAAGTTTTTTGTTCCTTTGTTAGGTTTTGTTGTCATTCCTATGTTGGAGGACGCACGAAAATTCGACAACGAACAGCGACAATTATTTTATATACCATGCGTTCAAAACATTTCACTCCAGTCAAGCCGTAGACAAACATTGCTAGAATTGTGAAAACGTTTGGTATGAATGCATGAATTTGTTGGAATTGTGGTGTGCAGAAGGGATTTGACGTTCCGAGTGATTTGCCTCGAATAGAGGACAACCCGAGTATTTCTCTTTGTTCACACGAAGTGCCGCAATCGTACAATCAATTGCTTGGCTTGCAAAAATATAGAACATGCTATTTTCACTTTAAATTTGCGTCTGACATGAATCATTATAAGAATTCAAGAAAAAAAATTGATAAACTGAAATGTAGAACCCAGTTTTCAGTTACTCTTTAAAAGCATAGAAACGATCAAAATTGATTTTAGCTGCGAGCGCTAAAAGGAAAAACCACCAGTTTTCATCATGCGCGAAATGTTGAATGCATAATGTACAGTACAACGTGGGAATCTGCATACGGCAATCTGCTACAATGGTCATAATTTCGTTTCGTTGTAAAATTGAAATTGCAACGATTTTAGGTAGACGCTGCTTAATAATGCATCTTACACTGAAATATACTCGGGCTTTCACCAAGTTGATCATATAATTTATACCAAAAACTATTCTTAGAATCGTTTAAATCATTATAATGCAATATTTTTTTATTTTCAAAAAAAATGAAAGCATAATTTTGTAATTTTCAATAAATTCCCTCAAAACATTGCATTTCACACATTTCATTGGCACTACTTTACTTCAACGACACATAAAATAGCGTAGTTAGCAAGGAAAGTAATACGTTCATGCATAATTCAAGCCGCTGATGGAAACGCGCCGATAAATATGAGTACGAGAAGTGTAACAATGTGGCTGTCAGTCGTTAGTTACCTTCACACACCCCTCGCGATCCACTCACACTTCATCCAAAACGCGACTTTAGTTATATAGGTATATGCCCATTATGCACAACAGAAAATCCGCTACACATAATGGATCACTGCCGTCGGTGGGTGGAAAAACGAAAGCCAAACGGATGGAAGCATATCGTGTCGCCGCGGTGGAAAAAGTTTACTACGCGGGCGTTTCCATGCACGGCTCGTGTGTCATGATCGGTTAAGATATTGATAAAAGTGGAAAAACTTATTCAACACCCGACTGGCTCATAATAGGCGAGATATGCGGCACTCAAACGCCGAAGGCAACACCTGAATATGCTTAGTAAAGGCGAAAGGGTGCGAAAATGCCGGAATGAGGTTGAGGTGGTATAAACACTGCATAAACAGTGTATAACGTGGCGTAAATTGAAATTGGTGGTATTGGGGGGCGGGCACAAAAACGGAAAATATTGCCGCCCGCAAGCCGGAATGAGTGTGAGCACCCGCATATGTAGGTATATATTCAATGTGGTATCCGTTGGTGCTAAGTGCATTATGATGTATATTTATATACCGATTTCGCTTCGTACGCTCGCGTATAGGTGTTTTTCGTTGTGCGCTCGTGTACTATTTTCTTTTCTAAGCGCCTAACAGCGAGTTTCGTGCGATCGACTCGCGTAAGTGCATCTACGTGTAAAACCTGCACGTATGTCGACAAAATAAATGAGAAAATATCGAGAATTATCCAGAATACAAAGTGCGTGGTTTTGTGATATCCAAAATTTCGTAAACACCATTTGTACTAGTAAACTGGTAAATTCAAAAACAAAGTTTAAGGGGAAATAAATATATACAGTAGAGTCCGGTTATAATGACATCGAAGGGAATTGACAAACACGTCATTATAAGCGGACGTCATACAAAGCGTTTTGAGAAATGAAAACCCTTTTTTATGTAAATATGTACATATACATATATATTAAATCAATATCAAAATTGCACGTAATCAGCACATTATAACACATTCAAGTGTATTTTTTACTGCAAGTAATCTGTAATTTTTGTCTGCTTTTGTTTTTTCATTTAATTAATTTTCTTGTGATTTTCGAAGCCTCCTCGGTTTCAAAACATTCGAATTGAACGATTGCTTAATGCGGTTAATGATTGAGATTGTCGAATGACCCACGCCAAATTCGGATTAATGGAAAATACGGATTAAGTCGTGGTCAAGGTGCTGCTGTCCGAATGCTTATATTTATTATTTAAGCATTTGGTCTTTCCGATAGTAAATACATAAAAGTAATTTGACAATCATAAAAGAAATGTAGCAATAAATATAAAAAGTTCGCCACGTGTCGAACGTCGTCGGGTATCAACGAACATTACCGGAGGTGTAAAGAATCATGTTGGTCATTATAACTGGACATAATCTGTTAAAAATGGGTCATAATAAGCGACATGTCACTGTAAGCGAAGTCATTATATCCGACTTTTTTATACAGAATTTTATATGAAAACCAAACTTGGTAGTGTAGGTACGTCATAATAACCGGTTGGTCAATATAAGCGGAGTCATAAAAACGGATTCTACTGTATTCTTCTTACCACTAATTCGGCTAAAAACAATTTTAGGAATTTATGTGGCGCGTGTGCAAAGTTAATTACACTATCCGAAAATACCACTTCGATGATGCATCCCCTTCATCCACCCGATATTCGTTTACAGGCCAATTGCCTTGCCAACATTTTCTCTGCTTCATTTTATACAATAAACGCATAATCGATCTAATAATGTCGACGGCACGTTGAGCACGAGCTGGGCGCACGCTTGCTGCTTGGAATATTTTGCTTTCCTCGAACTTGGTACGCTGGCTGCATGTGCACAGATAGAATAATCTTTTTCCCAGCGCACGTTCGCCCCCGACGCCCACGTTTTAATATTGCTTTTCTCATAATGTTCCCATATCGGAAAACACTTTCGTACCGCCCCGAGAGGCACACAACTTGCTGCCGAAAATGCGCCACATGTATTGATGAAGATAGATAAAGTAATCACATCAAATGTTTCTACACAATGTCAACAATAATTTTCAGTTATTACGCCATAAATAAAAACCAAAATAAGATTTTTGTAGTGATTGTGATAATAAAATTTATATTTCCGAAGATTTATGACTTGAAAACAAATGATCCACATGGTAGTTGTAGAGATATCGTTATTTTTGTGTGCTGCGCACGTGGCATCCCTAATATTTCCAACAAATTGTATTATTTAGCCCTCGTCATTATTATTTGTTGACGACGTGCTAACTCCGCACGCCCCACACGTCCAAATGAAAAGAAGTAACATAATCATGCGTTACCCATACGTGGCTTGCGTCCATGTACACATTTCTACCCAGGGTTGTGCACAAATCTATTCGATTCGCTATGAGAAACGTGCGATAATTTCATACTCAATTAAACACTGGTATTATTTTCCTTTTCAAATAAAAAATATACAAAAACTCCAAAATATAATGTAATCATGTTTACTACTTAATTGAGGGATGCGTCTGTAGTCTGCGGAAGGGCCGATGCACCCCGGCAGCCGCTAACATCCACACATTCGCGAGCTGATGGCGCCCGGCGAACGCATTATGTTCGACTTAAATTATAACCTGGACTAATGGGACATAATTGCGAAAAGCTTTTTGGCCCGGTCGACAGCTTTACAGCGGGCGTCGAATCTAATGGCGAGACGCCCGTTCAGCGCGCATCGTCATCGCGCGATCAAACTTTTATAACGACCGAAGGCGAGAGCGCAACTTCGACACCGCCGCCACCGCCGTCGTTTGGCTATTGGGGCGGCGTATTTGCTTTATGTATGCATGTGTATAAGCCAGGCGGCGCAGCGGCATGATGGTACACTTTGCTAAAACTTGCAACTTTTCCAAGGGCTAACTATTGTAAGTGCGACCATATTTCATCATATTTTTTGGCCATTTCGCCGCCAAATCCGCACTTCGCTATACCCTATTCTATATAATCTAGGAAGCGGGTTCATTGCCATGTGTTGTGTTTAAGTTTGCTCGAAATTTATGAGCTTACCTTATGTGTTTACGTGCGCCGAGTGCAAAACGGAAACTTGGAACTTTCGTCATTGATAATCATACGAAAAGTAAATATTATGAAATATTACGAAAACGTTAAAAAGATTTTTATGCTATAAATCATAAATTAGCTACATTACATTTCAGAAAATCACGTTTACAATAACGTTAATAATAACAAATTTATTTTCTTTATTATTTTATTTTGTATATCTACAAATATTTTGAAGTAGATACCTGGTTTAAGGTCAATGCCTCATCTTAGCTATATCCAAATGGGATTAATATCGAAGGTTTAATCCGATTAGCGATCCTTCAACTTCATTGCTCATTTGCACCTAAATTTCCAGGTATATTTAAATTACTTGTGTCTTTTAATACCCTTCCATTTCCCAACTAGATCTTTGAGAAGCTACCCCCACTCTTGCGCAATTAGCTGATTATCAACTATTTATATTGTTGACTTTTCAAAATTGTCATCACATTAACTTGTACTTTGTTTACACAAGCTTCTGTTACACGTATCCAATCCAAGGTAATATTTGAAGATGGCTGATTACAAGACTTGTATCCCAGTCCCAGTGAACCAGTGGATCTTCCACACACCATCCACCAACGGACCACATCCATTCAGAACTCCAGACTCTGAAAACTGCAAGAATCCTCCCATCTGCTACGAGTGTGTTGAAAACATCAGACCTGGTTTCTACGTCATTTACACTGCCGATGGACAAAGACTTGAAATCGGAAACAATCAGGTCGGACCAAGGACTCCCTGTTCACCAGCTCCAAGAAGTTCATCAGTGAAGAACCGTCGTGAGGAACTCCGCCGAAAGTACGAGAACAGACAAGACGAGTGGAATGCTGCTGAAGCTTTGCTAGACTTTAGCAGGGAAGTAAGAATTTTGCCACCAATCGACTTCGATAGACTTCAGACATCCACACCGAAATTGCAAGGTACCAAATCTAAAGCTGCTAAACGTTTGAGTTTTTATTTCCCAGAAGATATGTTCACACCAGAGGCGATGATGTCATCAGATGAGATTCTTTTGGATGAACGGTATGATGATATTACAGATTCAGAAGCTCCCGAATGGGATTCTGAATATTCCGCAGAAGAAGAGTCTGATGCTTATGATGCCGATGATGAAGAAGGCGACTACGAAAGCGACGAATATGAAAATGTCCCATTTGAAGATGAATGTGAACAAGACGTATCCATGTATGATAGCAACTGCACCGAAGGGGAATTGGTATTTGACGAAGTTGTCGAAGAAGAAATAGTTGAATGCACCGAACCATTTCCAGTGTATATGAATGGAGATGTATATGGAGGAGACGTCATCGACATAAAGCGTGCTTACAACGAAAGCCTTTCTTCCCAAATAATTTCAATTCTTAATAATCTGTAATATGTGCCAATTCCTGATCTAAATATGTAATTATGTGATAATGTTGTAAATATTGACGAAATATTTTATTGAAATGATCTCTTTGTATGAATTAATATGTTTAAAGTAATAAATAAATAAATATAAGTATAAATATAAATGCTTTCCATTTAGAAAACTCCATTATCTCTGCATTTATTAAGCAAATGTATAATTTTATATGCAACGAATGAATGTTTTGTTTATATACAAGAGACCAGAACACAAACTGCACATCTCGCTGATAATTTGAACATCGTACGATTTTGATATAATAATGTCAAATGAAGTTCAATTTAATGCGAATACCTGCATCCTAGCGTCATCTTTATGTCAACTATACACCTCTACTTAAGTGAGATGTGCACAGTTCTCACTCGCACACAAGAGTTTCGATTTAACTCGAGTCCAACACACGAATGTCAACAAACAATCACACTCATGCGAAGCACAGCCTCATATTTTAATGTGTAAATGTCTGATCCACCAATGTAATTATGTAATAATGTTTTAAATATTGACAAATAGTCATTTTACTGAAAGATCATTATGTTTAATCTAATTTGTTTAAAGTTTCTGTTCTTCATATATAAATTTTATAACTGCTTTTCATAATTTAATAATTTCGCTTTGCATTTACAAAGAAAGTGTAAATTATTGTATGAAACATAATTTTCTGCGAATCATAAAATATTTCAATTCAACGAAGAATAAAAGATACATTGCAACCAATGTTTTGTTTACATTCAAGATACCAAAACACAAACTGCACATCTTTCTGATAATTTGAACATCGTACGATTTTGATATTATAATGTCAAATTAAGTTCAATTTAATGCGAATATGTGCATCCTAGCGTCATCTTTATGTCAACTATACACCTCTACTTAAGTGGGGTGCGCACAGTTCTCACTCGCACACACGAGTTTCTATTTAACTCAAGTCCAACACACGAATGTCAACAAACAATTACACTAATGCAAACCGCAGCTTCATGTTTTAATTTGTTAATGCTGATCCACATATGTAATTATGTAATAATATTTTAAATATTGACAAATAATTGTTTTATTAAAAGATCATAATTTTTAATCTAATTTGAAAAGTGTCAGTTCTTTACATATTAATTTTATAAATGTTTTTCATGATTTATTAATTTCGCTTTACATTTACAAAGAAAGTGTAAATTTATTGTATGAATCCTAATTTTGTGTCTATCATATAATATTTCTATTAAACGGAGAGTAAAATATAAATTGCAACCAATGTTTTGTTTACATTCAAGATACCAAAACACAAACTGCACATCTTTCTGATAATTTGAACATCGTACGATTTTGATATTATAATGTCAAATTAAGTTCAATTTAATGCGAATATGTGCATCCTAGCGTCATCTTTATGTCAACTATACACCTCTACTTAAGTGGGGTGCGCACAGTTCTCACTCGCACACACGAGTTTCTATTTAACTCAAGTCCAACACACGAATGTCAACAAATAATTACACTCATGCAAACCGCAGCCTCATGTTTTAATGTGTAAATGTCTGATCCATATATGTAATTATGTAATAATGTTTTAAACATTGGCAAATAATTATTTTATTAAATGACCATAATTTTTAATCTAATTTGAAAAGCTTCAGTTCTTTACGAATTAATTTTATAAATGCTTTTCATGATTTATTAATTTCGCTTTGCATTTACAAAGAAAGTGTAAATTTATTGTATGAATCCTAATTTTGTGTCTATCATATAATATTTCTATTAAACGGAGAGTAAAATATAAATTGCAAACAATGTTTTGTTTACATTGAAGATACCAAAACACAAACTGCACATCTTGCTGATAATTTGAACATCGTACGATTCTGATAATAATAATGTCAAATGAAGTTCAATTTAATGCAAATACGTGCATTCTAGCGTCATCTTTATTTCAACTAAGCAGTTGTACTTGAATGGGGTGAGTATAGTGCGTGTGCTCACATGGACATGCGCGTCTCCATTTAAGTCAAAACAAACTCACGAATACCACTAAACAATTTCGCGCATACATACAGACAGATTATTTATTGCAATAGTGCATCCTAGCGCCATCCTAAGTTATTGTTATAAAGTTACATTTAAGTGGGATGCACGTTGACCTCGAGCATAACATGCGTTTTGTGATTTGACTCAATAATCAGTTTCAAACATTGGCAAATAATTATTTTATTAAATGACCATAATTTTTAATCTAATTTGAAAAGCTTCAGTTTTTTACGAATTAATTTTATAAATGCTTTTCATGATTTATTAATTTCGCTTTGCATTTACAAAGAAAGTGTAAATTTATTGTATGAAACATATTTTTGTTTGTGTCATAAAATATTTCTATTCAACGGAGAATAAAATATACATTGCAACCAATGTTTTGTTTACATTGAAGATACCAAAACACAAACTGCACATCTTGCTGATAATTTGAACATCGTACGATTCTGATAATAATAATGTCAAATGAAGTTCAATTTAATGCAAATACGTGCATTCTAGCGTCATCTTTATTTCAACTAAGCAGTTGTACTTAAATGGGGTGAGTATAGTACGTGTGCTCACATGGACATGCGCGTCTCCATTTAAGTCAAAACAAACTCACGAATACCACTAAACAATTTCGCGCATACATACAGACAGATTATTTATTGCAATAGTGCATCCTAGCGCCATCCTAAGTTATTGTTATAAAGTTACATTTAAGTGGGATGCACGTTGACCTCGAGCATAACATGCGTTTTGTGATTTGACTCAATGTAAAAATCAGTTTAATCTTTATGCGGCGCGTGAGTTTTATACATTTACATTTTATACCATATTGTGACTATGGAATCAAAATGACCATAAGAAATTAAATTAATGATTCATTTGTTTCTGTATTTTTCCGTAATTTTACAAATTACCTAAGTTATCAAATACTCTCCCTAATTATATATTATATTGTTTAAGATTAAAACGGTTTTGTTCTTATTCTCACTGCCTCTCATACAGAAGCTAATAACTAGAAGGTAGTATACATATTTTAATTACATTTTACTCTACTCACTTCCTAACAAATTAGCAAACAATATTTGTATTGTAGTTTTGCACATTGGCCAAACAGATTCAACAAAAAAATGCATGATGCCGAATATGAAAGTGATGAGTATGTAACTGATGACGACTATGAAAGTGATGTCGAGTATGAAAATATTGAAGATGATGACTTTAATTTCTCGCCACCTCAGAATCCAGACAACTTCAATATCAACCGAATGCATTACACACCACTGCTAGGCGAGATCCCTCGACCCGATGTGGTATTTCGGATTTTAGCAGAAATTCCCCGTACCGATGGTGGCATGTATATATTATACGAAGAGTTATCGCCTACGGAAGAAGAACTAGAAGCTTATAAACAACATCTAATTTTAGACGATTCGCTTTCATGTGAAAAAGTATTATGCATGAGGACCCAAAACAGAGAAAAGCAAGTGAGGATTAAACGGAGGCAGCGGTTTGCAAATGTCACTAGACAGTTATTTGCGGAAGATAAAATTATATCAAAATAACGAAAATTTACTAATATTATGCCAAATAATTGCTGCAGATAGTTATTATTGTGTTATAAGAATTATTTATTATTGTTTTTAAATAAATATGTATCTAGTGTATTCAATTTGCACCTAATTATGCCATATATTCAACTTTAACATCGTTTATTACCTGTTGTTATTGTTGTTTTAATACTAAATGCTTATCAAGTTTTAGCCTAATAATAACTTTCGTTGACGATGACAAAATTTCTATCCACAAATATTTATTTAAGCTGATAAACATATTGCATTTTAATTGTTGACAAATATTGTCGAGAAAAACACCCTATTCTATTAACTCCCAGAGATATTATTGTATATGTTAGTCCATCAAAATATCTATTTATTTTTAATCCCTGCTAATCTGTTGTTTTGATATGAAATATTGGTATTATTTATCCATTCAAAACTGTTCCCCCACTTAATAATGTAATTACGTAAACAATTCATCTTTGAAATTGTGTACTTAAGCTGGTATCTCACAGAACTAAAATTAGTTTATCTAAAGTTCGTGATATTAGAACACCAAGTTACCACAAAATTTTATTGTATTCAATATTTGTCTACAAAGTAGAAATGCAGAGTTACATTCGTGCCGTTTACGAGTCCAGTACTGAGCGTGGACATCTTTGTCCTTGCTCCACCGTCCGTGATATTCGCACCTACGCCACTGATTTGATAAAGAAGAGACGCCCAAAGTTGAGCAACAAGCAAGTCATTGAAGCTACCAACAACACCATTGCAAACGCCGGACAAGTCTTGCAAGAAAAGCAAAGTGATCCATCATGGACCGCCGTCGCTGTAAAGAAGGAAAAAGAAAAATAAAGAAATTCATCGCTGCCACCCTAGAAGAACTGATGAAGCCACCAGGAAGTTACGCAGCATTCCGTGCTGATTTAAGAATAAGTAGCACTCCTAAGACAACAGAAGAAGCAAAAGACAAAAATACTTCAAAATGCTCTACAAGTACCAAAGTCAACATTTCTCCAGCCAGCTTACCACATAAGATGGTGGTTAACTCCAGGATACCGATTCTTAGGAGAGAAAGTAATTCGTTTACAACACCTGATCGAAAAATTCAACCAAAAGTTGCATCGGAAAGTAAATTTTTCACTGGGACGATCGACTACAAGGATGGGAAAGCAGTCATTTCTACACCGGGTGATAAACAACAGACAAATGTTCAAGAAGATGACGAGTATTTCATTCAGCAAGAACTTGAATCTATTGATTTGAACTCTTCAGTATGGCTAACGGCTGAATCTCATGGTTTTGCTGATCCGGCAGAATCCCCGATGAATCATGGATTTAATTCAGCTGAATCTTCAATCACTGAAGAAGATTTGATGAAAATTGAAGCAGAACAAAATGCTGCTAAAGTTTTAGAAGATAGTCTTGAATATATTGCTGATACGCCAAAGCGTGACGATGATTTACCAATGAGAATCAAACAATTGGGACAACGTATCAGTGATATAAATGCTTCTCTTCTGGAAGCTTCTATGCGACATGCTAAGAGGAAGCGAGCAGATTCATTGAGTACTATACATCAATTGATCGACAAGATGGTACCCGAAGGCACACCTGAACAGATCAGGAAGAGATCAAATTCATTGAAGAATCAACTGAGACCCACAAACACCACTCCGGTTACAGCTCAACATTGTCTCGAACCCCACCTTCCAATTGTTAAAACACCAACTGTTCAGATGTTCAACGGAAAATGCCGCAACTTACTGGAAACCTTCCAAAACAAGGCGAAGGTTATGAAAATGCACCTCGAAGAAGAAGCAGCCAAGTTGAACAATTCCATGAACAAACAACGCATTGATTCGATGTTTCCAAGAATGCCAAAGTACAACACGCCGTATCCAAGACATCAAGGTAATGGTAGGAAACGAGCTGATTCGCTAAATTTTGATAGCCTTGAATCCACATATGATTCGCTGTATACGCCTACGTCCGAATTGCCCATGGAAGAATCTCGTCCTAAATATGAGAGAAAACGTGTTACTTCTCTGAATTTAGATGCAAAACAGGAAGATGCAGAATTGGAAATTAAGGAGAGTGCACATGAAAGAATAGCACCGAAACCCGATGGTATTATTTATCAGAATCAAACAGTGGATAGAGAAGATAAAATGCCAAAATCACAAGACAGTACGAGCCGCATCATACGAATCAGCAACAAAATTGATGAATTGACTGAGCGAGTACAACGCATGAAGAATAATTTGTTTATTGACAAAACACGCTAATTAATAATTGTATTTAATTTTGTATACTGTAAATATTGTATTATAAGTAGATTGATTATAAATAAATGACGATGTTTTTAAATTAAATTTTTTATTATTTAATTTTGATAATACCTAAATGCATTGAATAATATATTACTTTTGTTTAGCTAGCGAAAACGTAAAACGCGAGGGCAGAGGTTCAAAGCACATTTGAGTGCAACTTAACATTGAAAAAAGAAAGCCCGTCTAAGAAGTAGAAGCAGGAGCTGTTTGTAAGTAACCCTTATGCTAATTCGCTAAGTGAAAGAGCGGCCCAAGTGAGAAGCAGCAGCGCGTCGCCGCTTTCGTATGCAAACTGCATATGCAAAAAGGAACCCAATGAATTCATGCTAATGCAACACATTCGACGGAAATTTCCGAAAATCAATAAAATTCAACACGATTTATTTTAAAATTACGCGAGAAGAAAAAAAAGGAAACTTTTCTTTCTGCTTTGACTAAGTGACTACTCTCTGGGGAGGGTTGACAAATTCTAAACGCTTTTGTTGGCGCCGAATATCTGCAAAGCTTTTTTTGGGGAAGCTTCATTTTGTCAAAAAAGCCACTCGATACGCAAAATACACACAATCAGTGTGGTGGCAAGAAAGGGGCGCGAGACTTTTGTTGCGCGATGCGTAAGTCACAAGCATTTTAAAGAAATTGCTCAATATGTATTTATTTTGATTTATCATGTCCTGTTTCTTCATTAGGAGGGCAGAGAAAAATATTAATTGAAACATTTCACTATTTTTATTGATATTCGAAACACCTCTGTTAACCCAACCAATTTTATGGAAATGTTTTAAAAATGTAACAATAAAATTTAATACAAATCTATATTTTCGTGTTTATTATTAGAATTATCTTTGTTAACCTAGTTATAAATCCTTTGTGTTTCCTCGCTATTGTTTCCTTGAGCACCCGTTATACAAATTTATATTTTTCTCAGCGCACACAAAAGAAATCTTTTTGTATCAAATCCGTACGCAATTCGTCCGAAAAAAGAACGTCGTAAAATGAATGACTCCTCCATGCAGCAGCGCGCGCGAATTCTGCCGCCTACTTACTCCTCAAAACGAAATGCTTCTCCATTATTTTTTGGCTTCCTTTTTCTCGCCGCACTTTGCTTACGTTTTTTTCATTCATAGCGCTGCTTGCAAGACCGGCGCGGCGACAAAGCTTTTGTTTCGTATTTTTTATTCGCCAATCTCACTCTCGACGTCAGCTCCATTCCGCCTTCTCACCTCCTTTCTTAACTTCGACTGGGCGCCAAGAGTCGACAGCGCACGAAAATGTGTTAATTTAATTAAAGCCCGTATTCTTTACTCCTTTGACGCACCCCTTTAATTCCCATGTCGTTGCATTTACGACGCGCGGAGCGCGCTCGCCGTCTCATTGTCTCACATCGGGTTATGCGAATAGGAGAATACAAATGCGAAGGACCAAAGGACCAAAGTGTGAACGTAACAAGTAAGCGCCAAAGGAACATTTCTTTCCATTTCCATTTGCTCGTCTGCTCGTGTTTCATCGCCTTTGGTTTGCCGAAGCGATGGCACGGAGAGATGGTCGCGGTCTTAAAAGTCGTCACGGTCGTCACCATCTTGCGAGGGTAATTTCTATAAAAGCAGGGCATTAATCAGTCAACTTGCTTCGCGACAACTCGAAGGATTCGACCGCTGTAAGGAGACAGTATAAACGCGAGGGCTTTCTGCGTCGTTTGTACGTTTGATACAAAATTGCGCCGAGGCGTTGAGAAAGTTAGGGTTGGATCTGATAAAAGCCGTTTTCTTAAAAGCAGTACACGAAAATTACCAATGACTTTTAGTCAAATCTGTATGAATAGAAATCAGATAAGATTTAGTTACACACAATGAAAGAAAAAAATGTTCAAACATTTCATCTATGCTCACAACACGCATCGCAAATTTAAACTTACTTAAACTCATACTTAACGTAACTCTGCTACATCTCGTACAAGAAGCAAACGCAACTCCAAGCTGACTTAAACCATTGTAAAATGGGAACGAATGCATCGTACTCGCATTGCGTAGCATTAGGCGGAATGTGGGAATTGTGTATGTTAAGTGAAGCTGTGCTTAGCTGCACTGCTAAAGTTCTTAAGTCATGGTATGGTCACTGTGGCAACAACACAACATCGCACAAACGCACCAACTCACAATACAAGAAGCTCTTAAATTATTCGTTCGCCGTTTGGCGCGATTGCTGCGTGTTGGCCGTGTGTTCCCGATGTACCACGTCTGCGCTTTCGAATTTACATTCGTCCCTTCGCCGCGTTTAAAATGTTTGTGCGTTTGCTGCGTGGTGCTAACAATACTTCCTTGCAAAAGTTTTTGGTGTTCTCAGCCTACCTGATATGGTCTTTGCTTGAACAAAAGTAGTTCTACTCACTGACGTGTACATGTGATGTGCACCAGATCACGCATTTAATGATTGTATATTACGCTAAGGCTTGATTTAAATTGACCACTAAATTGTCTATCCTTGTGTTGTTCTATGTCAGATTGCACAACTATCTCAATTCATGGCTTAGCTGATTTGGAATTTCAAGTTTATGACCGGATTGGAGGCTCTGGTATGCAAAGCATTTCGTGATTGTAAATTAATGTTAAGTAAATTTACAATTAGGGACGATCGTTACTGTCTTAGATAATTAACGTTAGATGCCTGGCATGCACATATATGTCGCATATATTTGGGCTAGGGATGCCGCAAGGCGACGGGGGTGTTGGCGGCACTCGAGCCAATTTGGTTGTTTATCGAGGTGTTTGCCTTCGTTCGGTGGGCGGCCGGTTGGCATCCGACCTGTGGCAAGGACACTACTAGACAATGGGACAAGGGGTTAACGACGGGAACGCCAACAACGCCTGGAATGGAGCCGACCTGAACATGGCAAACATCTGCAAAATTTGCTTCGTAAACTGGGAAACCAACACATTCCCTATATTTGAAATGTCCAACAGCTTCTACAGAAACTCTCCTCTAGTATATTCTACTTACAAAAAAATACAAAACAAACGCACAACTTTGACCTTTTCAAGTTAAGATAAATTCACACACTTTATTTTACCGAGCCAACTACCCTCTTGCCAGCTTAGTCCTAGATTCTTCGACGAGCGGAGAAATTTACTAAACGTTCAAATAGAGCGATGGGAGGAACGCAGGAGAGTCAATTAAATGCGAACCTTTCGCGCGTTGCGAAAACTCCTCGGGACCAAAAGGGATGCCAGCGATGCACGAATGCAAAGTGCGAAACATATTTTACATTTCCACACTCCACGACGTACAACTCGCAACAAACAAAACCTTCCCAGAAGATTCCAGAGCCAAGCAAAGGCAATCCTTTCGTTGGCGGGGTGCTTGCGGAGTTTGGGTAAACAAAAATTGATTACGCTTGGCTATTTGTTTATCTAACGCTCAAACCTTCACCGCCGATCCTTGCTAATGTTTTCCCGGCACGAAGCTCGAGAGAAACTTCCTGCGCGCAATTTACAATTGTTAATTGGGAAATACCTTCGGAGTACGCAAACAAGCGGAAGCAAACGGAATAAATGACTCATTGGAAGAATAAATGAGCAGAAGTGGTACTTACAATAGGCGAGGCTTCGAAAAGGCAGCAGAAGCATGAAAAGACAACGAAGAAGACTAATTAATATTAAATTTGTTAGACGTCTTTTAATTGAAATAAAATTTTCTTTAAACTTTTTAAAATTAATAAAAGCCAAAGCGTTTAAGCTATAAATTAAGTGCTAATTTCTTTTATGGGCATAATCGTGGAATTATTACTCAAAACCGATCAATACCAAATAAAGAATAACGAAAAGTGGTTTCAGCGTTATGTAAACAAGAATTACGACGTTTGGCAAGCACTGCAAGCACCGATTTCATAAATTTCTTCCATTCACCATGCAGCGCGAAAAAAAAATTGCACAGGTAAGTGAAAATTACCGTACTTACATTTCATAAATCCGGTTCGAATCGCAATTCCCTTTGCACAAAACACTGTAATTGCGAATTCTGAATATTTCCACAGATTGAGAAAGCGAATACAAGTCGTAATTGATTTAGTGCATAATTATATTGTGTGTATTATCCATTGATGTAATAAATTGCGTCAACCTCATTCAAAATCAAATTTTATTGCGTCGTTTACAACTGTTTTGCATCGTTTGTAATGCGCAGGTTGAGTCTTAAAATTAAACTTGTGAGAATTCGCATATATAGCTACGACTACGAGAGTCTCTTAAAAGATAAGAGGAATTAATGAAGTTTTGAGGCCCGAAATTTCGCAATGAATGCGAAGGGGAGATTGTTGGAACGCACAACGCCTGCAGGCAGCGATATAAAATGGCAGGCAGTTGGAAATTGGAGGATCAACTCTTTTGTTGCACTAATGACATAAGTTTTAATTGTGAAGGCGCGTTTTATGCTTTATGATTGCATGTTAAATGTGACTTCCTGTTTAATAGTGGCAGTACTCGTATATGGGAAAAAGGCAGATTATATTATTGTGAAACTTATTTATGTGTTAAACATAGAAACAACACAAAAAACACAGCACATCTACATGAGATAGTTTTAAATCCGGCTGAATTGGGACGTTAATGATTGTAATTAATAAACTATCCCATCTAATTAATAACATTGACGTGGGTACACGGGTTTGATGCATATGCCCAGCGGTCCAACCGCAAAGGCGTTCATTTAAATTCGGCGCTTTGCTTCGTGTGCGCTCTTCGCATGCGTTCATCATTCGGTTTCGTTTGTTTCTTTTGGCTCTTCTTTTGTTGCTTCTGTCTCGTCTTCGGTTGGATTCCCCCGACCACTGGCAACGCTCTCGTGTTCTTCTGATTCCCTTGTGTTTCCCATCAATAAAGCGCATTGCGTAATGGCGACCCATCGATTTTTTCTTAATAGCTCAATTTAATTTAATCGATTTTTCGACTTTGCACCGCAGAGTGATGCAGTGCCTCTCCCGAAAAAGATCCGCTATTTTTAATGCCCTCGCTTTTTCTTCACGGCTTTTGCCGAGCGAACGAGAGGAGTCGTCGATTCTTGCGATTCTTAATTCCATTCTCGATTCGTGATGTATACCCATCATCCGGATGAATTATTCCACACACATTAAAGAACAACTATACTATCCGTGTGAATCAATATATCAATTCTGGAGTAAAAGAAATCATGCATTATCAACATTATTTTCATTCAGTATATGCTCAACCAGTACAACTTATTAAATAATCATACAATCATTACATCGCCACTAGTATCAACTTATGATAAAATGTACAAAATTTACATTAATTATAAATATCAAATTTACAAGGACTGATGCCATCGCAGAAAAGACCATTATTACTGTGGAATTAAAGATCATGCATCCATGCCATAAAACCGAACTGTTTGAATAATTTTGCAATTGTGAAGATTCTTATTTAGAGTTTTTAAATGCGTTGAAAGCACTTCTGGCATACAAATGATCCTTCAATTGAACATTGGAAATTTGTCCTTCCACAGTATCTTCACCCTCTGTGTCTGCCCCAATGCAAGGTGGTTTTTGCAACTGCTGATTATCAATTACCTTACCATCCGCGTCCATGGAAAGTTTCAGTATTTTATCAGGTTTGCGCTTGATTTTCCGCTTTTTTCCAATTCTAGACTTAGACTTGTTTTTCTTTTTAGGCAATTTGGCAACAGTCGGAGGTGAAATATCAAGCTGACCATTACTTTTTTCTGTTGAACTTACTTCTTCAGCAGCTACATCAACAATTTGTTCATTTGCCAATGGAATATCATTGCTTATTCCATTTGTATTGAGTGTCTCACCAAAAATAATCATATTAATTTCATCTTTGTTCAAAATAATATCATGACGGGATTCATTTTCAGATTCCGATATATCTCTATAAATATGATTTGTTTCAGGAACCTCTGTATTTACATTTATCTGACTTGTAACAGAACTAGTTTCATCAAGGGCTTGAAAAATCGGACAGGCTTCGGAAGCAGGTACATGAACATCATTCGGAATATATTCGTTGCTTGTTGATTCTAATTTGGCATTATCGTTAACAACAGCATTTATTATAGATTCTTTTATAGGCTTAGAGCTTGTTGTTTGTTCTGATGTGAAAGCAGGATCTTTTTTACCCTTTTTCTTCTCTTTCAATTTCTTTTGGCGTTTGCTTTCGCGCTTTTCTTCCTTGTTATTTGTATACTGTTTTATTGCTTTCAAAGATATAGTCATTGTTATCCGACCGGTATTGTTGTCATTGTCTTTTTCTTCGATTTTACTCACAACCTGTGGTACCAAACTATCTTCTTTCATTGAACCCGAATGTTTACATGCTTTCGGCTCGTGGCTACCTTGAGGTTTATTTTCGGATAATTGTTTTGTCTTTTTTATAGAAGTGGAAGTTTTGCTTTTATTCTGATGAGGTCTTTTACGTTTTCGGCAATTATAAGTTTTTAATGGCAAATCAACCTTAACTTCAGGAACTTCCGATGGTATAACTGCATCTTTCTCATCTTCAGCTATCACTGGTGCATTCACATTTAAATCATTATTTGTTAATTTCAATGGGTCTGCCACATTATTAATACAATTATTTTTATACAATTTTTCAACAGATTCAATGGAATTAGCTTCAATTGAGTTTATTAGTTGTATTTGTTCCTCTTGACTACTAATTTCTATTTTATCTGGAACGGTCATATTTATCGGAGTATGGGATGATTCATCATTCACAGGCAGTTTTGTACTTTCCACCAAGCTTGTTTCAGCTTTGGAATCAATTTTTGGTAATTCTAATACTTTATTAGGCTGATGGGTTTCAACCACGGGCAACGTGTTTGAAATTTGTGACACGTTTTCTTTAATTTCAGAAATCACGGCAGGATGACTGTCAATACTTGCCGGTGCCAAAGTTTCAATTGCTGCTTGATATTGCCGCCTTTTTCTCGGTGGTAGACTAATTAGTACTTTTTCCTTTCCTCTGTCACTCGCACCTAATGGATTATCAACTTTTGGTAGTATATTATTTGTCAATGGTTTAGAATCAAAGTGTGGATACTTAAATTTCAACCACTTCATTGAAACATCCGGCCTTTCCTTGCTCAATGTAATTTCTTTTTGTCGACGCATCTTAAAATAGCAAACGCCATTTTTTATCGTTTTGTTGCAATTGGTACTGCTTTCTACAGAATTATGCTCAATTTTTTTCACAATTGACGTCTGACTTTTAAGTTTTACTTCTGATTGTTTAATAAATTGAAGATAGTGGTGCTTGAGCTGGTGTGCACTGAGAAGATTCTTTTCCAAGAAGTATTTATCACAATATTTGCACGGATATTCTAGAGAACGTTGAATGATGTTGTCATGTGAATGAAAAAATGATGAATGTTGATTTAAGTCGTCCCTGGAAATAACAATCCTGAGTGAGTTATAAACTTTAAAACTAAAGGTATTATATTACCGCGAAATAAATGGAAGATTGTAACATTCAACACACCAGAACTTGGCCAGTAAGTTATGTTCCTTCACTTTATGTTCAGACAAGCTTTCTAATGATTTAAATGCTTTTCGGCAATGACTTAACAAACATCGAAACTTTTTTCGTCGTTGATTTGCAACTCCTGCATGTGTTTTGTTGTATTCTTGCAATTGTTTTCCATAACTCTCCAAAGTAAGATCCATCCTACCAAAAAATGTTTGATTATACAATTCAATAATTTAGTATCTATGTAACATCTTACTGTTCATTCAAATGATGGAGTTGATAATGATTTTTCAACTCATTAAATGTATCACATGTGTGTCTACATACATTGATATTGCATGAGTACTGCATCAGTCTGTTTTCTCCAGAATTCAGAAGTCTTTGACTACAGCTACCAACTTCTGTATTTCCCACCTGTTGTGTGAGACACCAGTTCGAATTTCCATCTGCTAAAGGAACTTGAGAAGCTGTAGGCTGTCTTTGTGCTATTTTCAGTCCTAAATTTAATTAATTAATATATTATTCATATAGAAAATATATATATGTATAATGCCTACCTCCATTAAAATATTCATAATCTTGCAAATTTCTTGGTGACCTGCATTCATCCTCTGAGTCAAGGCATTGCACTTGCATACTAGAAGACATATTATTCTCTTGTTCATCATCATCTTCATTTTCACTGCATCCATCTTCATCCAAGAGAAACACAGGATGGTTGATTTTCACCTTGAAAATATTGAATGCAGGAATCACTCTATCATTCTCTCCAATGTCATCATCCAGCAAAGCATCAGCCAGTATCTTCTTCATGAAATACATCCATCTTATTATATACAGACATTCATGGCATATGTATCGACCATGTCTCAAATTCTCTTCCTGAAATGTTAATACATCATAAATATATGGAGAATTTCTATAGATAAAAACTTACAACATCCCCAAATAGCTGCATAATGTTTAAATAAGGTTGATTTACTGGATCATAAATACTGTAGCAAAATTGCTCCATTGATCTCTTGCAAAATAAACAGGTCTTGTAGCTCATGATGATGGCGTCAAGGGAACACACCGATTGCGGGAAATTTGTACAAGTGAATGTGAACTCAATTAATCATCTTGATTCTGTTGAAAAAAGGTTTGCTTTACGCGTACTTGGATAGTTTAATATCATATTTAACGCTGTATACAATGAAACAACTGTTAACCTATCTTTGCTTTCAATCTCACAGTGTTTGAGTGTGTGAATATTGAGAGAAAAGTGGTGGAACTTTTGCTTGGGGGCTGCGAATTAAACGCGTATTTAGAGAATGTATATATTAGGAACATAAATCATTATGTATTACAAGAATTAGAAATTTTCTATGCTTCACAGATTAATTTATAACTCCAATTATTGACCCAAGTGTAATTTGAAGAATTAAAAAAAACATGTTTAATTTACAAATATTATTGAATAATAAGTCAATACAATATGAGTTGTTTAAGATATTTATTTGACTTTAATAAATTGTGATTCAAATTCATATATGCCAACAGATTGATTAGCTTTATCATCATAATCTGCCCATTCTTTCTCACTCAAGTCAACATCATCAAAAACCTTGCCACTCTCTTCCACCCTTGCAATCCAACCTTCAGCAGGTGAAAACTCAATTGGCTCAATACCTCTACAGTCAAATGTTACAAGAGTAACAAATTTTCCACCACTGTTTGATGTAAATTTTCCTATTTTGTAAATAAAAAGATTTATGAAAAGTATTATTAGACCAGAAGGAAAAATTCATAATTACCATTACTGCCTGGAATAATATCAAGACTGTTTTCTCTTGAACACAGTTTACATTTTGCAAGGTAATGAACTTCAGATTTGCCCATTTTTGTTGGATAGGTCTGTGATTCAGTCACATCATGCCATTTGTCTGAGACTTCTCCACAGCTGAGACATTTGATCTTCAGCAAAAAGTTATAATTTGGATGGATTGTATATAACTCGTCAATATTCTCAAGATTGGCTTTAATTTGCAAGCTGATTTTCACCATTTTTGGTCAACTTTTACTTTAAATGAGTGATATTGCTGTTACCTCTGTATTTATTGCTTCTGTTACTGTGTACAGATGATGTGCATATTTGGATGCCTACATATTCCTTTTTAATGTAGAAGATTTGAAATACAGTTTGCAGCGTGTTTGCGTTCTAGGAACAAAAAATAAATTATATTTAAGTAGCCTTATTATTTAAATGTTTATATCAATAAATTCACGTATTAGTAAAGCTTGGGGTAGCTTATGACCGCTGCACCTTGTTCAATTTGAGCAGGACCTCACTCGCTGGGTTCCTCATTTCATTAAATGAATACAACTTCGAATTCTTAAAAAAACAGTAAAATCTTATATAAAAATGCAAGAAGCTGTTTATTGTTGCATAAATTTGCTTGTGAATTACATTCCATAATAAATTATGGTGAATCATCTGGCAAAGTAATGCACTAACTTGTTAGGTTTTAATGTTTCCATAACTTCCATTCGTCTGAAATATGAGTATTTGCTACAATAAACATAATTACAACACCTACCAATCTTCCTCTATGCGCGAGTAAAACTGCAATAATATTAAAGAAATCCAAGCAAATTATAAGGGGTAAAAAATTCTTAATTCATCAATGTTTATACATTTATTATGCATCAATCAAATTAAAAATATTGAATATATTGTAATGTATTGGTAACATAAAACGAACGAGTATATCGATTTATCCAAGAATAAAATGATTATAACTTTGATTGATGCACACAACAATATATCCTCAATATTAAATAAATTGGACTATGATAAGAATCATACAATGATATTTCATTACATAATGAACACTTTTGCAACCTCAAGACAAAGTAGGTACATAATCTTTATAACTTTATCTTATTTACTTGGCTGAATGTTTATTTGAGGGAACAAGTATCTTATTGTGAAATGTATGCACACATATTTCTTTATTTTAATTGCATCATAGAGCTTAACATTTTTTCAAACTTGTGCCTAAAATGTGAATTGATGGTAATCATTCTGAAACAAACTGCTGTAGTAACAACCAAGAATTCATAGCTGATCAATATCAGTGCACAATCGTTGTAAGTACTCTTTAGTTTTATATATGCATTGAGGTTTGTTAAAAATTTCCTTGATTACAGCATACATTTTTAAATTAATATAATTCCGTCTGGGCATATTCGATAGTGTCTAGTTTCACATTGGTTCTATTGCTACTTTAAATGGGAACTCACAGAATAACAAATTGGTGGTTCCTATTCGCAAATCAAATGAAAATTCAAAACAAAACAGTTTAAAGCAATAAAACAATCACTGATTTCCTATATCATAGGAAAGCAGGGATATTCCAGTTTGAATAAAATTTGTGCTACAAGTCATAGACTTCTTTAAAGTCTTACAACTTTAAGAAGAACACATCTAATAGCTTGAAAACCATGTCAAAACGTCTCTTGTAAAATATTCACACCGTTTTTCAAGCTTTGACCTTAATGCAGCATTAATATTTAAAAATGAAGATTTTGTTGGTCAAACCCAACAAACACACATCTAATCTCAATTTATACATTGTATTTCATCTTTGTAGATTGCTCTACTAGCATTTAGTAAAAGAATAGAAGCCTCTCTTGATGACTAGCTGTTAGCATTCTCCAGCCTTTTTTTATGCTCAGATATTGCCAAATTGCTCTGATGCATATTATGACACCTACAAAATTATTTGAAAAATTATTACCTTTCGAATATTGTTCATTTCAATTCATACCAAATGTCATTATTAACCACCATAGCCAGCTTTTGTCCCTGGATGCAATATCAGTTGACTCTTTCACAATAATGGTCCATTTTGCCAGGGACAAACCAAATCCTGCTAATGCCCCATATCTTGATGCAATTGTATGGCAGAAGCACATCAGAAGCAAGAAACCAATCCAATTAAATATAAATGCAACTAAAACACAAAATACATAATCATTAAGATCTATATAATTCTGAATGAAATCATATTCTTGATGTTTACCAAAGAATGCAATGATAAACATAAAATCTGTGCCCAATAGACTAGTGTCAACATCATCATTTGAGTCTGCATGGAGTGTGTTGATATCTAGAATCCTGTGTGCATGTGCTGGCTGTCTGAACTCAGAAGTTTGTGGTATTGTAGACTGCCCTTCAAGGATCTTTTCTCGCTGAACCTCCTCATATGTTGGCAACTTGCTAGCTACCTCATAAGGTGGTGGAGCATAAAAGTCGGCCTTAGGAGGCGGGATGTCATCACTGGCAGCAGAATCCACAACGTAAGTGTCACCAACTTGGTGCACTACGGAGTCCTCCACGATTGTGACCTCAATTTCATCCAGATTATTCTAAAACATTTACTTGCATGATTTATGCATAACAATAAGATATGCGACGTACTTGTTCTGGTGATATTTGATCAATTGGCTGCGGTGGTGGTGGAGACGGTACTGGTATAGATATTCTCACCATTATATAGATAGATATTATTTATTTATCTCTTCGCAAAACATTTATCGATATTTTTATTCGGCGATAACTTCAACAAGAATAACAAGGAGAACAAGAATAACAAGATGGCTGAATGACATTTACGTGCACTGTTGCCGCTTACCAATTTTGATTTTGTAAAACGAGTAAATATTTTAAGCAGATAAAAATGGTAAGTACTGATTAAACCTTTAAAAACATCATTAATATTGATTTATATAGTATAAAAATAATGTTTATTGATTAAAATTATGCCAATTTATTTTTAATAAGTTATTAAGATGAATCTAACTATAATAATGAAGCAGAGGCAAACAAATTAAGTAGCCTCATATATTAATTTATTAGTAATAAAATTGAGTATGAGTACTACTACTCTAATTTCAATTTAAAACCGGCCTAATCAAGAAATAATTTGTATTGCACTAGTTCAATGTATTGCCGTTTGAGGCGCTAGATGTCAGAACCGTTTGGTCTACAAGCGGCAAGCAAAAAAGCAACAGTTGATCTTGCGCTCCCGTCGTGTTCGTTGCTCTATAAATATTCCTCTTGCAAGCGTGTTGTTATTATTGTTGAGAGATATCGAAATTTACGAAAACGTTACAAAGAATAATAACGGTAACTAGCTGTGATAAACTGCGTGCATCTGATTTATTTTGTGTTCATGTGTTTTTCGTTCTTATCGCATAAAAGAGTAACGAGATTGGTGAATTTCAAAAACAATAGTCGAATCGCGTTCGTATCGAGAACAAGTACGATGCATGCCACGAACGGATGCACTGTAATAAATATATAAATAAAACTACCGGTTAGCGACAGCGGGATATTTAAATTACCAATAAATCGCAATCATTGAACACTCTAATCGCTGTCGTCGAAGACGCACTCATTGCTGTTATTGGATTATTGTTTTGCTAGCCGCTGCCAGCAGTCGAGAGCGACGTGCGGACGACGGATGGAAGTAATCAGATGCTACCGGCTGTGATATAAGGTACTGTTATCGTTCAGTTGAGTGCAGCAGCTCAGATTCGAGCGATGTATGAAGTACGAATGTTAAAAGGCATGCATGATGTGATGCCCGCTTAAATGTAAACAGAAACGGCTCGACGCGTTTGGGTTTATTACGAATGGAATGCATGGCCCGGCGACGGTGGATCGTTAGGCTTAATTTAATTAATGCCGCTTCCTCGGTTTCTTCGTCGAGTTGTTCTTCGACAACTCGGTGAGGAGTCGAGGTAAGTCGTGCTCGAGTCCAGTTTGTTGCGGCGAACACCTCTACCCGACGTTCGGTTCTTCGGGTAAAGGCCAGCCGGAGAAGAAAGAAGTTATGAATAAAGCAAGTACAGGTTTCTGTTCAGGTACACCGTTGCAATGCGGTGTGTGAGCGCAGTGCGCACCTTGCAGTACCATGCGTGATGTAACTGCATTGAGTAGGTGCCCGATGGTACACCCAATGCGTTTAATTACTACGGGCGATGACTTGTTGTGATTGTACTTCCAGGTGTTGCGCTGGCAACCACCAACCAGTTCAATCCGTGCCCAAAAGTTTCATAATATCCGGTTGTCACACTTAAATTTCGAAGAAACTTCTTCCTAAACTTTTCCAATCGTTTGTTTTTGTTGCCTTGGTCGTTTTATTGTTATCATTTGTTTTATTGTGAGGAATATTTGCCGTTGGATGATTATTTCCGTAAATTGAGCCAAAGTCTTTCAAAGAACCAAGTGAAACAATTACAATTTGTAGAGGACGATTCGTCGTGGTCTCGCAGATTTTGCGTTGTTTTGTTCTCGCCAGTGACATTTCTTTCATTGTTTGTATTATTCAGTCATTGCTGACTGGCGTTTATTGTAGATGCATTCAACGCTCCTGTTTTTAATGCTCATTTTTACCACGCCAGCGAGCGTTTCGTTGTGTTCTGATTAATTTTATCCTTCTATATCTGCGAATATCTAACGATTTCAACAACAATCTTCAACGTTTTGCGTGCATTGTTTTGTCAGTCTCTTCGTTAGAAACTTTTTTCTGTTTTCTTTAACGTCCGCCTTTTTTCTATTTCCGCCTTTAATACACGCAGAATTACACTGACTGAAATATCTATCAATGCGCATCTCTTTAGTCCGACATTCAAATCATTATGTTATCGTTTTACCTGTTGTTGTGGAATTAGTAAAAAACCGTGGAGGAAGCAATGAAGGCAACGGTAGCTTTGCCATCAACATTGACGGCATAATGAAAAGAATCTACAAACTTATAAAATAATAAATGCAGATTTCTTTCGCAGTCCGATGCGCGCCGCGCTCTGTTTGTCGCCTCGTTGCGTTACTCATTTGGCGTTTTTAATTGTCGTCTTTATGCTTTTGTAAATTTCGTGCGTTTCGTTTTTGCTCATCGCTGGCATTGCAGGACGCTAACGTCGCTAAACCATCGCTAACGATTGCCAACATTGACGTTCCAATTGTAATAGCATTGTTAAAAACATTTTAATTGTTTTTTGATTGATGACCGTCTGCTAAGTTTCACCATTACTATTTAATAAATAAAACTTAGACCGCGAAATGTTTAAAAATGTGTCGCATAGGTTTTTTTCTCGATTAAAGCCGGAAAATCCAAAAAAGTTTTTTGTTATAATTTCAGATTCGACTAAACTCGTAAATACATTCTGGAAAAGCAAATAAAATGCGCATAAATATATATTGCTATTGCGTAGCATTGTGTGGCACTATTAATAGCTATAAGGATGACGAAGCTGTGCAAACGAAGCATTCAAATGTTTGAAAATTGAAGTGTAGGAAAACATTGTGCAATATTTTAAGTTTGCCAAGCTCGTTTGTGTACAAATGTCATTAGCCTAATCAGATATTGTACACATTGTAAACAATAAATATTAATAACGTTGATTGCATTAGTGATTATGATAGATGTGATTTCGTGCCTGCCTGATTGTTTGACGAATATAATATTACCATTGGTACTCTTCAAGTGATGCTCATTCAAGCTCAAATTGCTCTAAATTGAATCCATAATCAATGCCGACAATAACTCAAGTGGCACAAGTCCAAAGGTCATACTTGGTGAATAATTACAGTTTTTGTTGAATATAAATAATTTACGCTTTTAAGAACGGAGAATAACATTTCCTGTTATTAAAATCGTTTAACGCCACTTGCTAGACATAACCCTCATTAACATCTTACATCGTGTTCAGTTTTTCACTTCCTTTATAACACCCCATGTGGCAAACATTTGTGTCGTCGATTTGCTAGTTTCCCGTTTTTTTTCTCTTTTGTGATGACTGGAAATTCTAAAAACTTCGGCTATTCCAGCTACTAATGTTGGCTGAAATTGGTAAGACTTAGTTTTTGGTTGTTACTTTCGGTACCCTTAGATTTATTTTAACGACAACTTGTCACATCCAGAACGAGATTGGAGCACTCTCCGATTTTATGTGTATATACGGATTGAATAGGATGGTGAACTGTGGGATTAGTGAATGACTAAGTAAATATTCCACTTGCTTATATCGCTGCACCGAGGGGCAAACAACTCGATGAGACATTCGCCTCATCAAATCGAACCGGCGTGGGTGTAAAAAATAAAACGAGAAATAGTAAACATGCATTTTATTTCGTTTCATTTTATGATTGTATAGAAATTCCAACAAAAACTTGCGGAAGTAAGCTGTCTTCTTATCGATATTGTCATTGGAATTTTAGCCTAATTCATCAATTTACGACCTGCACTTCCTGTTTTCAGGTTGTTCAAGTTTTTAAACACACTAAAAGCTTTTCGGTATCTTTATTGTGTAAACATTTGGTGTTTTATTTTTTAAATGCACCCGTTATTTATCAGTCTTTGGCTGCTGGGGCAACATCATCAACGTATCTGTTTCATCGCGGTAAATTATTAAAAGCCCATCTTGCGGGAAGCCGCACACGCGTACCTACTCCACGCGGCAATTTTTAGCAGTGTTTTGGGAAAATGGGAAGCGGGAAGCTTATTTACTGGAGTCGAGACGCTTCGCGTGCACAGACACACACACACATACACACGAACACACTCTTCATTCGGCTGGATACCGCGGAATGCAAGGCAACCGAAAATAGACGCGTGTAACATCGTAGTTTTGGACGCCAAGTGTGACTCCTTAGAGAGTCCAAACATACGATCCGAACGAAAAATACCCCAAAAAACAACCTTCGGTTTTCAAGCAAAAACGAACTTGCCATCTCTATATAGAGCAGTAGGTATTATGCGGGAAGTAGATGTAAACCTAGTTGATCTTTTTGCGCGCCTTCCTTCATAAACTGAAAGTAAACGAGCAAAACGCCAATGGTTTATGACATGAAATAGGAAAATTACGAGTGAAGCTCATGTATCAAAACAAGAAACATTTGGAAATGTTGCACGTATGCCACAGTTCTGTGTGTACGCACTTAAATTTCTGTTTTTTCAAAGAGTTAATTGCGTAGAATGGTTTATTTACTTTGTGTGGACAGTAACGCACTTCCGTTTTGTTGCATAGCGGTTTAACGTCATTATGGCGCACATTTCATAAGATTTATAGAAGCTTTACCGAAAAGTAAAACAAGACATATTGTTGACTTTATTAACACAAATCCACATCGTTACAACTTTCAACGTGGAAACATTTCTTAACTTCGTTCGTTGTCATTCAAACCATCATTTACGAATCAAGTTTTGAGTTTTAATGGTTAGAAATGTAGATTAAGGAAGAAGGAAGAGAGATGAATATACTAGCCATTATCAATTATGGTAATTGGCTTCGCCGATTAATTATGTTTAGGATGAGTTTTAGACGCTTAGCTGCTAGTTAATTATAATTGGCAACATTGACGACGCAATCTACAGATCTTAACAATCTTCGTGATCGTTTGATGGAGTTTATAGACATATGGTATGCGCATATTTTAATATAATTTACGAACCTACTTTGTTTTACGAATTTATTCAAATTCTTAGCAAACTTTATGCGAAATTGCTTTTATCTGTGCGCAAATATTTAAATATGAAGAGTGAAATCTTTCCTCTAAAGGAAGTAATTACTGTTTATAGGTTAAACATCTACTTGTTTGGCGAAACTAACATGACATTATTTCAAAATGGACCTGTTTACAGTTTATATTTTATTCGTATATTGCTGTTTCTTGAATAGTTTTTACAGTGGCCAGGCAAGCCGATTCGTTTATTGGTTCATTGATCTTTTTAATTCTGTGCCTTTTAATGACCAATAAAATACGTTAACATAAAGATTTAACGTTGATGTTGATTGATATAAGTAATTATATTTTATTGTAGTTGCATGTCGCATCAAATCATCAACGTTAATGTTTTCGACGTAATAAAGACGCAATCAAACCGAGAAATTAAGAAATTAATTGGGATAAATTGTTTTTTCGATTGTGTTAATTAGCTATTAGCTTATGCTTTGAATAATTTTTATATCAGTTTATACCATACTACGAATTGAAGATCCAGAAAGAGAGATACCTGCGGAACACCCGCAAAAAGAGGTGGGGGTACACTCGCAAGCGTGATTATTTTACGTCAGTGCGCGATTTGTTGGTACTAGGAAAGAGGAAGTCGGCAGGACGTATTTGACGGATGTATCCTCTTCTTCTCACTTCATTGCACATCAAGTCATAAGGGTCCGTTGTATTATTATAAGTTGTGCAATATTTTAATGCTAATATTATCTAACAATGAACAATGGGAGTAGGAAAAACGAAAATAAATTGTCGTTTCAGAGTCTCTTTCACCGCCAGTAATGCAGGGCTTTGAAATATTTTATTATTTCCAGTTGCATTGAGCCTGAGTTGCAACAAAATATAATTTTGGTTTTAACCTTTTACAATTCTCCGCGAAATTAAATATATTTATTTAAGCTCGTATTGTGCACTATACGATTGCACAAAATCACAAAAGAATGTGAATTCGTCGTCGCTCACATAATGGGTACTAGTCTGCTGCTT